GGTCAGGGCCGGGCCGCGCCTCCCCGGAGCGCCTCTCACGTCCCCTGCCCACACCCCTGACTCAGCTTACCAGGTGCTGCCTGCCCGCCCCTGCTTCTTTTCAGACTTCCCGCGAACCTCTGATTCGCGGGAAGCGGGGGAGGAGCAGGGGGTGGAGTGTGCAGGGAAAGGGAGGAGGGGGAAGTGAGCTGGGGGCGGGGTGGAGAGCTGTGGCGCAGGGCCCTTTTAGCGCGGGGCCCAATTCAGCTGAATCGGCCTAAAGCCAGCCCTGGTCGGGGGGTGCCCAGCTCAGAGGGGCTGGGCTCAGAGCCAGGGGTCAGGGCTGTGGGGGGATGGGGTTGGGGGGTGTCCGGCTCAGAGGAGCTGGGCATCAGGGCTGTGGGGGGATGGGGTCAGGGAGGTGTCTGGCCTCGACCCCTTTCCATGCCGCTTACCCCCTCTCCCGGACAGCGCTGCAGCGGTGTGGTGTCTCCAACGGGGCCTGAGTTCCTGCCGCTCGGCCACAGCTCGCAGCCCCGCCCCCTTACCAGCTGAGACGCCGGGGGATGGGGGAAGACGGAGACGGGGGGAGCCTCCGACATACTCGTGGGGGCCCCTGCAAATTGCCCCACTTGGCCCCCCCCCCAGGCGGCCCTGACTCTAGGAGCCCTTCTCACCGCCGCAGCCCGAGCTCGGCTCCAGGGGACCCCGCTTCCCTCCCTCCCCGGCTCCTCACACACTCTGGGAGCCCTTCTTGCCGCCGCCGCAGCCCGAGCGGCGGTGGCAAGAGGAGCTCCCAGAGTGTGTGAGGAGCCGGGGAGGGAGGGAAGCGGGGCCCGGGATGCAGGGAGGGAGGGAGGAGGGGGCCTGCTGCTGCTCCAAGTCTCCCCAGGGCGGCCCGGCGTTTCCTCAAGTGGGCTGTGCAGGGTGCTGCCAGGCTGGGCAGGGAGCGCAGATGCCGGCTTGCGCACTGACAGGGCGAGTGGCTGGGCCAGGGCCAGCTCCCGGCAATGCCGCCCCAAGCAAAAAAATTAAAAATTAAAATTATAAAAGGGGGAGCAGAGTGCCGCCCCTTAGAAAGTGCCGCACCAAGCGCATGCTTGGAGGGCTGGTGCCTAGAGCCAGCCCTCCCCATCTAATGGGATTTGGAATCCATCTCACACTGAATTTCAGTGGGAGTTGGGTGACTCACTTCTTAGACTCCTTTGAAAATCCCAGCTATAGTTGAATCAAAATGGAAATCTACCAAAATATAGGATATTTCTGAGCATGCCACCAGCACCATCCTTTACTTACTGCTCACACTCCTCAGCCACTTGGATACTTATAGTGATGAATGCTATAGAAAAACTTAAGGAAATTTAAATTGGCATAAATATTTAGTGCCGTTTACTTCAGTAGTACAGGATTGACTTAAGATACTGTTCTAAGTGTTAGGAAAGATAAACCTGCTGCCTAAGTTCTTGACCCATAAACAACAGGAGCTTCTAAGATTCTAAAGAAGATTTACTGTGAGATCCAGGGCTTTGTACCCCCCTATAATAGCTCTGCTTTACCTCCCACATTTTACATATACAGAATTGATACAAGCACTATAGCTGCTCAGAAGTAGAGTCTCCCTGGGGCAGTGTGGCGGTGACTCACCGGCGCGGGGCCTCCTGCTGGTCGTCCAGGGAATTAGCTCACCAGCCTCCAGAGCGCCCTCTGCAGGCCAGTGTCTCGCCTTGCCGCTGGCCCCAGTGTCCCTTTTCTCAGGGTTCTGCCCCCTGTAGTCTCGCTGGGTCTTCCCTCCCCAGGGAACCCCCAACCCCACCTCACCTCAGTCTTGGGCTACTGTCAGTCACCATCTAGCCCCCGCTCACTGGGGTGGACTGCAGTATAATTGGCAAGGAGGGTTTGGACCTGCTGCCTCTGCCTACCCATGGGCTGCCCCTCTACAACCCCAGTACCTTCTTGGCCTTTAACAAGGCCTGCAGCCTGGGGTTTTTCCAGGCCGGAGCTCCCCAGCTCCTCTGGCCTTTCCCCAGCCCTGCTCCAGTCTAGGTACCCTGCTCAGCTCCCAGCAGCCAGGCCCATCCCTCTCAACGTCTAGAGAGAGACTGTCTCTGCTTCTAGCCCACTGCCCTCTTATAAGGGCCAGCTGGGCCCTGATTAAGCTGGCTGCAGCTGTGGCTGGTTTCTCAATCAGCCCAGCCTTTCCCCTGCCACAGCCCTCTCCCAGGGCTGTTTTAAGACCTTCAGGGCAGGAGCGGGGTAACCACCCCGCTACACTCCCACATTTGTATTTGCAGAATAAACCTGAATGTGAAAATATATCTGTCTGGTCATATTGAGTATTCAGGGATTTTCATGTCTTATTTTTGATTACAGCCTGATGAAGATGATCAAGTTCTGAGCCTACAATTCAGCTGGAAAGGTCTAGTAAAACCTGTGGGAAGCACCTTTATTGGTGTCAGCCCTGAGTTTGAATTTGCCCTCTATACAATCATTTTTCTACAGTCTCAGGAAAAGGTCACTCGTGAGATGGTGCGGATAGAGGAGTATGAACTACAGATAGTTGTGTATCGCCATGGTAAATACATTGGAACAGCGTATCCTGTCCTCCTTAGCAGCAACAATGAAGATTTGTATTGAAAAGGGCCAAGCTAACCTGATTTTCTTTTTGAGTTTAACTGTAGTTTTGTATAATTTTAAATGTCATGTTTGGAATAATTTCCTTTTGTTCTGTATTAAGATGCTTAACCTAAGATGTGCCTTTTAAAGAAACGTTCAGTGCCTGTCCAGGCTTTGAAATCCTTTTTATCACCGTAACCCAAGAATGAAAGAAATTGTACTAAAGTGCCTTCATAAATCTGTACTTTAACTTCCTGACCAGACAACAGTTTTTTAAACTATCCCCTATTAAAATGAATATAGGGTTTTGATCAAACCATATAAAATACAGACCAGAATATCCCATAATAAGTGAGTCTTGTGGCGTTAGTGTTGAAATTAAGCCCTCTGTTATAGCAGTGTAAAACAATACTGCATAGCTGTATTTTGTGTTCCCATCCTCAGTTATAGGCTGAGAAAAGGATTTCTGCCAATGGCAATCTGGACAATTATGACATTATCCCTCCCCTTCCCAACCAGCACAAGCCTTATGGACACAGAAGGACTTCCTGGAATGAAAGTCAGTGCAGCATTTATCACACTACATCTAATCACTCTTCTACAGGACAGGACACATCTTAAAACAATGATTAATGAAGACTAGCAGGAAGCCAGAATAAGTTGACTGCCTGAAGCCTGAGCTCTGAGGAGACAGCAAAGTCTCTGTCAACCCCAAAACCTATTAAACTCCCCAAAAAAACAGAACAGAATGTGGCAGGGGATGGATTCTCCAAAAACAATTTAAAAATCAGTAGTATACAGTAAGAGACTTTAGGCAAGGAAAAATACGCCCGTGTCACTTGGGGTAGAAATCCAAATCTCAGCTGTACAGGAGGAGTCTCCTGAGATAGTAACTACAAATAACCTGCTGAAAAACTCTTGGCAGACAGTGAAACTTAGGAAAAGGAAGATAGGAAAAGACCAAAGACTCTAGAGATCCTGCTGGCAATGGCAGAAGTGAAGCTGAACAAGAGAACTCAGATACCTGAGGAGTAACCTAAAAATTAACTAAAAGAGATTTCTTGGAAGTCACCAGGAATGAACAGTTAGCAGTAACAATGTTAATGTTATAAAGAAAATAGTTTGCGTTAACTGGGGAGCTCATAACTCTGTGATAGCATGTTCTCTATTTTAAAAAGTAGAGAAGACAATAAGAGGGAGTGGATTGTTAGGGGGATCCCTAACAGGAGTGGAGGGCCTGGAAAATATAGAGAGGAGTTTGGAGGAACCTTTAAGAGTTCTGTGTAAATCCTCCCCATGTAACTCAAATAAGTGGATGGTAAGCTATCCCTAATGGTGTGGGTTAAGGTCCCATAGGACGAGAATGTACCTCCTTTGGATTGAAAGAGAAGCAGTACAAGTGTTCATGGGAAGAGCACAGGGATTTGGTATTAGCAAAGGGATTTGGGGACTCCTTTAAATGCTATGTTGGTGTTTTGTGTGTGGATTTAAAGTAAGAGGAATGAAGGAGAGGGGAGGGAACTGACGAGGCAGGGGGGAATTACTACAAGAAATAGGTAGGGAGGTTTACAGAACAGAAACCAAGGTACACACTTGCATACACAGAGTAATAGGAAATGAGACATTGGCCATATAAGTGGTCAGGCCATCAAACAGCAATCAATAATTATCATAATTTCACATTTTCAATAAACTAAATAGTTATTCTCAAAAGCTCTTCCTTTCAAAGTAGTATCTTTGAATGCCAAAGGGCTAACTGTCATTAAAAGGAAAAAACATGCTCAGATTATTCTACTTTGAGAAAGTTAGTTTCAGAAGGGACAAATTATATATAGAAATATGAATAGAAAGCTCTGACTACATTCCAGTATAACATCTCTTTAAATCAATGCTCACTGTTGTAATGATTGTTGTGTTCCTGATATTTTCATAGCAAGGATTTGTAAATCTACTACTATTTCCTAATTAGTATTAAAAATGATTCACCTCTTGGGCCAGTCTTCACATGAGCCCCCCACACAAAATCGAGATGGACAAGGTACAAAACTCCCACTGACTTCAGTGGGGCCAGGACTTCTCCTATTTGTCATCCCCAAACAGCATCTCCATCAGCACAGTGCCCCCTAACTGGTTATTGTCTGGCTATACCGAAAGAAGAACAGGAGGACACTTGATACGGTTTTAATCAGGTCGCAACTTTATTGTTAGATGTCTGAGACTACCCGGCAGATAAAAGTGTACAGTGCAGGTAACTCCATGTTCATTCAACAACTACTCTGTGGGCTTCTGAAAGCCCCCTCTTTTTCCATTCAGGTCCCCCAGCCAACCCATTGCTGAAACCTTACCATACTCCTCCGAACGAGGGTTAAGGTGAGCTATAAGAAAAGTGAGTTGGCACCCCACTCTGTGAGTCAGAGTAACACCGAACTCCCCCCCCCTTTCTGCTCCTTTAACCAACATCTGCTTTTTAAGTCCTTTTCCAAGCCATTTAGCTGGTCACTGTATCCCTTCCCTATGGAGTACCCGCACTAGGCGGCCACCCCACATAATGAGTTGCGACACCATAGCCTAACACCTTCTCCCCTCACCATAACAAAGCTCTCCCCAATCCCACCGTGGGGAAGGTGAAAAAAAAGCCCACCCCGCCTAGGCCAATCTTCCTTCCCAGCCTCCCTAGAAAGGAGCGGCTAGCGCGATGCCTGCAGCAGGGCCTGATCAACCTTTTTTTTTTGCCACCTCAAGGAGAGGGAGGCTGGCTGCTGCTCCACCCGCTCCCAGGAAAAGGGGCTTCTCCTGCTGGGCTTGCCCCTTTTGAACTCCCCCACCCTCCAGTCCCTGGGGATGACTCAGCATCGCCAAGCTGACCCACTCTCCCTTTTGCAGTTTCTGAGCCTCACTCCCCGTCCTGGCCGTAAAGCACTATTCCCTCCTCCCCCAACTTAAAGGTGCAGTGTGGTTATTAGCTTTGTACTGAATCAGAAGGATGCACATATAATACCAAATCATCCCCCAAAGCCCCCTGCTTTATAAGGCCCAGGAGCCTTCCCTTAAGACCAATTGGGTATCAGGTAATCAGTCCAGGGGCACTGCCCCCCCCCCACTGCCTCTTAAAGGGTCCCTCCATGGGTTAATAAAGGCCACTTCATAATTTTAATTAAATGAAATTCTAGTGTAGTTTAAAATATGTTTTTTATTCAATAGTTCTTATTGCTATACTGGGCTCCTCAGGCCTGGCTTCCTCTCAGTGGGGCTCAGATGCCTTGCTGGGCTCCTTGGGCCTGGCTCCTTTCTGTTTTGGGGAAAAAAATAAGTGTCCAAGCTCTCCCATCAACAGCGCCAAGCTAAACAGGTACTCAGAGCAGACTGTGCAGCTCAGCATACCATGTTATTTTCCCTCCTGTCTTACATACTGTGATGAGTAGTCAGGGGTGAAAGTAACTTAAAGGACTTACCGGTACTCCAGAGTCCTTGGGGTGGGGCCTCAACTGGAAGAGGCGGGGCCTTTAAATCACCATTGGAGGGGGCCCAGGCCTCTGGTGGAGCTTTAAAGGGCCCTGGGCTCGCCGTAGTAGCTGCAGCTGGGAACCTCTGGCCCTTTAAATCACCGCCAGAGCCCCACCGCTGCTACCCCAAGGCTCCAGCAGCGGGGCTCGGGTGGCGATTTAAAGGGCCCCAGAGGGTAGTGGCAGTGGGAGCCCCAAACCTTTTAAATTGCCACCCGAGCCACGCTGCCGGAGCCCCGGGGTAGCATCGGCAGCTGGGGGCTCGGATGGTGATTTAAAGGGCCCGGGGCTCTGGCTGCCGCTACCACCCCGGGCCCTTTAAATCATCCCTGGAGCCCCGCTGCCGGAGCCCTGGGGTAGTGGCGGTGGTGCTCCGGCAGCAAGTTAAAGGGCCCGGGGCGATAGCGGTTGCCACAGCCCCGGATCCTTTAAATAGCCACTCGAGCCTTGCCACCCTACCCCAGGGCTCCGGGGACGATTTAAAGGGCCCAGGGCAGTAGCGGCGGCAGGTGCCCCAGGCCCTTTAAATCGCTGCCTGAGCCCCGCTGCCGCTTCCCCAGGGCTCCAGCAGCAGGGCTCTGGCGGCAGTTTAAAGGGCCCGGGACTCCAGCCGCTGCTGAGAGCCCCAGGCCCTTTAAATTACCACCAGAGGAAACCGATCCGCCTCAGTACGATGCACCGGCTCTTGCCGATACGCCCTAGCGGGGCATACTGGCTTACTTTCACCTCTGTGACTAGTGAAATAATTAACTGGGGTCTTGCTTCATGCCAGGGCTAAATGTCCTGTGGGCTCTGCATGGCGATGAAATTGTGTCTTGTCTCCACAGGCAGCTGTACTCTTGGAACAGCTATCCTAATTAATCATTGTTGGTTTTGGGCCTTCAGTTTTCAACTTTATTGATATTAATTGTAGGCTGCTGGAGGTGGATGGTGAGTAGGTAGCAGCTATGCTACTCAATCGAGGCTTGGAGGCTGGGAGCTGTGGGAGCGAGAACATGTGCTACGTGCAGATGGCAGGTAAACACATGAAAGATTGCATGCTGTTAATCACGCCTCAGGAGCTTGCACAGGGTTATGCTATCATTGCCTGTAGCCTGTCTCCCAACCAGGAATGCACTGATCATTAAAATGGAAACCCGAGAGCAGAAATATGCTTTGCTAAGCCTTTGTTGGCCAGGACTGAGGGGGAGGAGGGTGCTTGACAACATTATTGAGTTAAATAACAGACAAAGGGTCTTATTTAATTCTTGGTGACTATGGACACCAGGCAGGTATCACCCGCTTGATCAACACATCCTTACACAAAAGAGACTTTCTCAGATGTGATCTCAACAGATGGGCTCCCACAAGACTTAGTGATCAATGCACACCACTACACACACCCCTACATGGACACTGGCTTGTTGAATACTTGACAGAGCCATCGAGGGGCTCTTGACTCGTACACACACTGCTCAGATAATGTTTTCTCCCTAAGAAATATCATGAGATTTTTAAGAAAAGCTGCCTGCAATATCATGCTTTCACAATTCCAAGATGGAAATGTTGCCTGTGGGGATCATTGGGTAGTTTGTTTAAGAGATTATCTTTTGAACACTCTTTAACATTCCACTCTAAACATTCAGCACAAAATTGACCTGATTGTGCAGCATTTTAAAACAATAAGAAAAAGAATCTCTCCTGTCCAGACCCATTCAAAACATATTTCACCATCTCCTCTGGCAGTGAATTTCCTAACCAGTAACTCCATACTATACACCACCATCGCATAAAGCAATTGTTGTCTGCCTTTTTGTCCTCCCTGACGGGATCAAAATAATCATACGTAGACTGTCAACATTTTAAACTGATAGAAAGTTCTATTAGCAAAAGCTCTATTAGACAAAAAAAAAAAAAAAAAAAAAAAACCCAAACCACATTTAAAAAATGTAAGTCAGACTAAGCCAAGGAGGTCTGTTAAAGAATTATTGCTTTTTATGGAAAACATTTCCAAAAATTTACGTGCTGAGTTTTCACTGTAATAAGATGAAAAAGCTGCTGCCTTTTTTTCTTTATTGCAATATGGTGAATTTTAACAAATTATATTTTCATTAAATCAAAAAGGTTTTATACTATTTGTTTGACACCTAACATCAGATGTTTCTATGAACGTTTCAATTAAAGTCCTGGTTCTTTTTTACATTGGCCATTCTGTGAAATTCTTGATTTAAGTAACATCATATGTGACTAGTTTCAGGGCAAATCCAAATTCAAGTATCTTTTTATGGGAGGCTGTAAAATATATTCAAAAGGAACTTACATCAATTCACACCAGCTAAGGATTCTATTATTCATAAAATAAACAGTAATTTGCATTTTAGTAATGGGTACATTTTAAACAACCTGTAAGAATGCTTGTGTTCTATCGCTTCTAGCTTCTGTTGTATAATGTGGTGTCGTACAAGACAGCTTGAAATGTCGTTCTTGCACATTCTCCCTCTAATGTCAAACTGAATCTAAAGTGAGATACAAATGCATCCTCTATTTATTTTCAAATAAAAAGAGATTAAAAAGTAGCCTCTGTTTATATTCAGCTCAGCTGCTATTCGTTTCAGCAAAATAAGAAAGGGTAAAACAGAGTAAAAAATAATTAATCATCTTGTTTGGCTACGTAGCTGTTGTGGGGGGCCTACTTCCTCAGCTGGCATAGTATCAATGCTCCATATAAGAGAAACATTCCAATAAAATGAAATTTGAGTCAGCAGCTCCAAGCCTCTGCTCGCAACTCTTGGCCGCTTACTAAAAGCAAATTAAAAAAATCTCGGAAAAAAATGATAAAGTGTCGTTTCAACATTTTCAAATGATTTTTCAGTTGGTTCATCTTTTCATTTAGAATTTTACTGCGATTTAAATTTAAAAAAAGAATGTAGAGTCATCAAGTCATAGAATTTAAGGCCAGAAGGGACTTCTAGTTCCTCTAGGCTGACCTGTATAACACAGGCCACCAACACCAATAAACCCAACAACATCTATGCTAAACCCAACAACCAAAATTAGACCGAGGTATTACAGCCCCCAGAAGACAGCACTAGTATGTGCCATAGGTACAGAGTAGGAAGGCCTGAGGTGCACCAGTGTTCAAGGCCTCTGCAGTGGCAGGGAAATGTTTAAATGAGATAGACACAGATAAGCACCCCAGACCCCACACTGCAGGAAAAGGCAAAGAGGGTAAAACAAAAAATATTTTGTTTTGGGCCAAAAAAAAAAAAAATGTTGCATTTGACCCGAAACAATTTTTTTTTGAGTTTTGATTCCTCCCCCCCCCCCAAAATCATTTAAAATCAGCCCAAAACAAATTTTAAAAATTGTTCAGTTCAGCCACTGAATCAAAAAATCTGTCATTCATACAGCTCTACTCAGCAAGCACCTGCATTTAGCAGAGTTAATACTCTGCAAACCTGGCACAGTTTCTGTTCTTTTTTTTGGTCATCAAGCTGTTTTCTCTACTAGATAAGTGCTCCAGTTTCCTTCCCATGGAAGAGCTCTTCTCTCAAAAACAAACTCATCTCTGCAGGGATCAGAACTCATCTCAGTGGAGTCTCACTCTGAGCATGCTGACGCAAGGAATATGTTCTATTTGCAGGTCTGGGAGATGTTACATGTTCCTGCCTTTACTCTACCTCTCTGTGTCACTCATTCTGCATTCCTTCTCCCTTCCGGACTATCACGGGTAAAAATCTAAATCTCTTCATTACACTGTGTTCAGTACACTCCGCCAAGGCAAAAACACTCTGTAAAAACAAACCTCTGAATCACTCAGTGTCATTACTTCAGTTTAGTTTCGCTGTTCGATCCATCTTTGCTCTGAGAAAAGCAGTCATATCTTTTTTATTTTTATTTGTTTTTGTTTGGCAATGTACTGCAATGTCAGTTTTGATTAGTAACTCCATACAGTGCACTAATGCTGATGCCCAGTCTGGGAGACCGAGCTGGGACAGTGCCAGCAAGGAAGCCAGGATTGGGGAACAAAAACATGCCAGTCTAGCAACAGCTTTGACACCAGCAGAAAGGGTCATCGACTATGGGGCAGAGGTTCCAATGCAAGATGAAGGAGCCACAACTTTGAAGGAGGCACAGCTGAAGCTCTGGAAGGAAGCAAGCCTGTTACATCTTCCAGAAAAGGCATATGACAGACCCAGGCATATGACAATACAGAGAAGACTGGCCTGACTTGCAAGGCTACTGGTTAGGCACCCAAGGGCAGAGGAGAGCATGGGCCATTACAATCAACTAATAGACCTGAGGGGATTCCAGAGGCTTTACATGGCAGCAAGAATGTGGGGCATTTTATGGATAGAGACACTTACCCAAAGGATCCAAAGTCAATACTACTGGCCTGGATAGTACAAGTCAGTTGAGGACTGGGTAAAGGCTTGTTATTCCAGTGTGGCCCATAAGACAATCCTTACTTTAACCAAAGCCTCTAAGGTTGCTGCCCAGAAGGACAGCCCTCTAAAAAGGATAGCCATGGATATTCTGGGACATCTACCTATCACAGAGAGGCAGTCAATACGTCCCTACTATAGCAAACTCCTTCTTCAATTGGGCAGGGGCTCATCCACTGCCTGACCAAAAAGCACAGATATTTGCTACGGTACTTGTTGAGCGGTTTGTCTGCTAGTACTGCAGACCTTGCTCCTTGCCACTGACCAAGAGTGAAACGTTGAGTCACGGTTGTACCAAGAGGTATGTGACCTGCTCGGGATAAACAAGATCCACACTACATCTTACCACCCACAGTCTGTTGTGCTGGCGGAGCACCTAAACCATACACTGACAGCTAAGTTGTCATTCTTTGTAGACATCAACCAACAGAAATGGGACAGCTTGCCTCCCTACATCATCATGGCCTATAGGACTAGCATGCAGTCACCCACGGGGTGCACGTCACATGTGGGCATGTGGTTGGCCTCTTGGTAGAAGTTCTGGATGGGGCAGATGTGATGGAAAGGAATGCTAATCTCAGAGGGTACCTGACACAGTTGGAAGGCATCCTCAGCACTGTTAGCCATCAGTAAAGCGTCACCAGAGTATGGTCACCCAGAG